GCGGTACGCGGGCCTCTCACTGCCGCGGCCTCTCCCGTTGCGGAGCACAGGCTCCGGACGCGCAGGCCCAGCGGCCATGGCTCACGGGCCCAGCCACTCCGCGGCACGGGGGATCCTCCTGGACGGGGGCACGAACCCGCGTCCCCTGCATCGGCAGGCGGACTCTCAACCGCTGCGCCACCAGGGAAGTCCCGGTAGAAGCACTTTTTTTTTCATCATAGATGACACGGTAGCACTGGACTGCATTCTGAACGGCTGCTGCAGCCTTTGTGTACCGTTCTACGTTCGGGTCCTGTGCCTCAAAAACTAACAGTGCCTCCTCAGATAAAGAAAATCCCCTGCCTCTTCCTGCGTCGTGAATCTCCTTGGTCTTCAGCTACTGCTTCTTTCTCTTGTCTCTCTCCGTCCTTTCTCTGGGCCTCGAGTTCTGTCAGGTCTCCGTTAGTAAGCTCCTCGTGTTACACAGCAAGGAGTTCAATGAAAGCATCCTCTTGCAGATCTCGCTTGAAATAAAGATACTGTACTCCTGCACTCTACACAGTACTGTACAGTACACAGAAGCACAGCCGCTTGTAGAGGGTGCACGCCCGTGACAGCGTGCCAGACACGTGAACTAACTTATGTGATTGGACAGGCGAATGCATGTTGCCGTCTTTGAAAGTTCTCACCTTGAAGGTTCTTAGGTCAGGGACCTGCTGTGCGGTATCACGTCATCTGCAAAAGCAGTGACAGCAGTTTGACTTCTTCCTTTCCAGTTTGGATTCCTTTTACTGCTTTTACTTTGATTGATGTGGCTAAGACTTCCAAAAGTATGTTGAATGGTAGTGGTGAGAGCGGACATCCTTGTCTCGTTCCTGATCTTAGAGGAAATGCTTTCAGCTTTTCACTGTTGAGTGTGATGTTGGCTGTGGGCTTGTCATAGATGGCCTCTATTATGTTGAGGTACGTCCCCTCTATACCCACTTTGTTGAGAGTTGTTATCATAACGGATGCTGAATTTTGTCAAAACCTTTTGCTGCATCTCTTGAGCTGATCGTATGGTTTTCATCCTTCAGTTTGTTAATGTGGTGGATCGTGTTGGTTGATTTGTAGATATGGAACCATCCTTGCATCCCTGGGATAAATTCCACTCGGTCATGGTGTATGAGCCTTTTAATATATTTTTTGGATTCAGTTTGCTAATATTTTGTTGAGGACTTTTCATCTATGTGCATCAGTGGTGCTGACCTGTAATTTTATTTTTTGGTGATATCTCTGTCTGGCTTTTGTATCAGGGTGATGCTGGCCCTGTAGAATAGTTCAGAGCATTCTTTCCTTTGCAATTTTTAGAAAAGTTGGAGAAGGAAAGGCATTAGTTCACCAGATGAAGCCATCTGGTTCTGGACTTTTGTTTGTTGGGAGTTATTTATTGATTTTTTTTAGATTGAGTTTCATTACTGGTAATTGGTTTGTCCGTATTTTCTGCTCTCTGGTTCGGTCTTGGGAGATTGTACTTTCCTAGAAATTTGTCCATTTCTTTTAGGTTGTGTTTCTCTGGTATCAGTTATAACTTTTTTCATTTCTGATTTTATTGATTTGGGGCCCTCTTTTTTTTCTTGATGTGTCTGGCTAAAGATTTATCAAGTTTGTTTACCTTTTCGAAGAACCGGCTTTTAGTTTTATTGATCTTTGTTAATGGTTTTTTAGTCTGTGTTTCATTTTTTTCTGCCCCAATCATCATGATTTCTTTTCTTCTGCTAACTTTGGACTTTGTTTGTTCTTTTTCTAGTTCCTTTAGGTATAAGGTTAGGTTGTTTGAGTTGTTTGTTTGTTTCCTGAGGTAAGCTTGTATTGCTCTAAACGTCCCTCTTAGAACTGCTTTTGCTGTGTCCCATAGATTTTGGATTGTTGTGTTTTAAATAGCGTCTTTCTTGACCTCAGAATGATGCTCTTTTTCTGATGAGAAAAGGCCGTGGATGCACCGTTACTGGTAGGACTCTAGATTTTTTCACTGAGTAGGCAGGTGTATAATGCTTGAAAACAAAAAATGAAATACCAAGAGAAAGGACAAGCAAGTGTGCTTCCTCATTTATGTTGTCCAGCTGATAAATCAGGAGCCTGGAGACTTCGCTTTCTGGCTGAATCCCTTTGGGCCAGCCGAGTGGGATGGCTGTCCGCATCACCCACGTGTCCACAGCCACCACGTTACTTATTGCTGGGCAGGTTTTTTGGCCAAAGCTCCCCCAGGAAATTCTGTTAAACACCAGCACTCTCTCCCCAAACCCCAGGTTGCTGTGTGGAGGTGCAGGGGAAACCAGGGGGCTTCACAGCCCATGTGCCAGGCCTGGTGGTTTCTTGGTAACTGTGAGACAGAGGATGTTAGAATGGTGAGCCGGTGGAAGCGGGGGGAGCTGCTCAACCTGGCTTCTCTGGAGCCCACATTTTGGGGTCAGAAGGGCTAATGCAAGGCACACATGGGACAGCACCATGGGTGTGTTGGCTTGGAGACGTTCCTCGTGGCCACGTGGAGTGTCCAGCCACCTGAGGCTAGTGGCCAGTGTCTTCAGTGGTCTATTAGAAGGATGATGGTAACAGCAGTGGTGTGGCTGAGGGGTGTGTACACCAGTGCACGTGTGAGTGTATATGTATACCTCTGTGTGTGTATGTATCTGGGTATGTGTGTGTATCTCTGCGTGTGTGCATATTTGTGGTATGCGTGACTGTGTATGTGTGTGTGTGTGTGTGGAGCTAACATAACTATTTCAAAATCAGTTTTCGGCTGTTAGTAAATACTGGTCTGCTGTGAAGGAGATAGGTCTTAAATACAGTATTACCTATTTCAAGCCATAAGAGATAATAGTTGGAGTCCAGGGTGTTTTTGAAAAACCAGATTCTCTTCCGTGTGGTAAAACTTAAGTAAAAAGTGGGCCTTATATTTCATTAAGCCCATGTGGCGGTTTCTTGATTAAAGAGACACATACGCCCTGTGGAAGAGGTGCTTAGCTTTGTTTATATCTGCTTGGACTTAGAATCTCCTGGAAAAATCCCCTCAGGAATACTGGTGGGAGGATGGAGGAGAAAATGCTCCATTTCTGCAAAGGGTACCTGGTCTGTCCTCTGCAGACGTGGCGTGGAACGGTCATTGCCTCCCTCATACGACTTAATGAAAGCACTTAACATGCCCGGATAAATAGTTTCATTATTGAGAGCTTTAAGTGTGCAGTAATAATAGCACTGTGTCTAAAAAGAAAGTACATACGTTAGTCTTAAAATACTTTATTGCCAAAAAGTGCTAATCATCATCTGAGCTTTCATTAAATCACAGGCATACGCCATTTCAAAATGCAGTATGCCTGTGATTTAATATCTGGGTTTGGAAAAGTCATGTCACCTCTGAACTTGCCTTTTTAAGTTGAAGATCGTTCTCTTTTGCTGGCTTTCTTTGTGTTAGCAGTCCGTAGTATGAATCATTTCCTGCACTCAACCAGGGGTCCACAGACTTGTCCCGCAGCGGGCCAGACAGGATTGATACCTCAGGCTGGTGGGCCACTGTCCGCGGCAGCCGCGCAGCTCTGCCCTTGGGAGCAAAGCACACAGCCATGACCGAGTTCCCATCAAACTCGAGTTATGAGCACTGAAATCGGAATTTCGTATCATTTTCATGCATCAGGAAGTATTCTTTTGATTCCGTGCCCCGCCCCGCCCCCATTAAAAACCTCTAAAAGCCATCCTTAGCTCACGGGCTGCGGTTTGCTATCTGCAACACTTAACCAGTGATTGAGGATCAAGGTGTTCACAGGCATTGCCTGCTGCTGCCTGCTGTGCACCTGGTCCAGCCTGTGGGTGTCGGGCTGAGAGATGTACCGCGGCGTGGAAGGTTCTCTGTTTGGGGACAGGCGACGTGTGGGTAGGACTCGGTCCTTTCAGCCTGCCCTCGGAAAGCTGCTCTTTGAAATGGGAAAACTTAGGTGCGCCGCACCCAGGGGTCTCGCTCCGGGACGAGTGGCTGGCTTCTGCCCAGGGCCAGCCGCTCCTACGTGCATTGTCTCATCTTGCCCTTTGTTGCAACGTGACTCTAAAGCATGCTGTTGCCTGTGGTTCTTGGTTCCTAGCTCTTCGTCCCAGGACCTGTCGAGCGGCCTGTGGGAGCAGACGCATCTGCAGCGCGCCTCTGACCACTTCAGCTCCCTGGGGAGCGTGGACAGCCTGGACCAGCCTGCCCAGTCCTACCCGTCCGGGCGCCTCTCGGCTGCCAAGTCCAACAGCAGCATCGACCACCTGGGCGGCCCGAGCAAGCGGGACTCCGCTTACGGCTCCTTTTCCACCAGCTCCAGCACGCCTGACCACACCCTGTCCAAGGCGGATGCCTCCTCTGCTGAGAACATCCTGTACAAAGTGGGCCTTTGGGAGGCCTCCGCCGGAGGCAGCGACCGGCAGGGCCTGGCTGCCGGTGACGCTCAGTGTGTGGACGAGAGGCTCGGGTGCTTCCCCCCCAGGGCCCCCTGTGACAGCAGCAGGAGCCCCAGGCCCGAGGACAGTCCTGAGCCCAAGCTAGCTGCTTCCGGGAGGTCCAGTTTGGGGCCAGTCTGGTATGTTCCCGATAAGAAGAAGGCCTCTTCGTCCCCTCCGCCGCCCCCTCCCCCTCTCCGCAGTGACAGCTTTGCGGCCACCAAGAGCCACGAGAAGACCCAGGGCCCTCCGTTCTCAGAGGCGGCCACCGCGCACTACCCAACGGGCCTGACCCGCGCTCGGCCCCACAGCGACTGGAGACCGGAAGCGGCCGATCAGCCGCAGAGGCCGGCGCGCCTGGGCGACGGGAGGAGAGCCGGCAGCTCGGGCCGTGCGCCGGGTGTCGCCCCGGACTGCGGGGCCCGAGCCCTCCCGGGGGCCCCCGGCCGGCTCCAGGCCTCCCTGTCCAGCACGGACGTGCGCTGCCCGCCGCCTTCGCCCGCGTGCCAGCACCCGCGCCACTCCAGCGACGAGAGCCCCTTCTTTCACGAGGGGCCCGGCGCCGCCACGTGGCTCAGGGAGCAGCCGCCTGCCGAGCGCTACGCGGATGACGGCCCCGCTCCGGCGGGGCGGCCCAGCGCTGGCGACCAGAAGGCGGACTGGGGCGCGCAGAGCCGCTACTACTGCGTGACCTCCAGACGCGGCCCGCAGGGCGGCGCCCCGGCCGCGCAGCCCCGCTGCTACCCTCCCCGGCTCGAGGGGCCCCCGGGCGCCCGGCAAAGGGGGAGGGTGGCGCCGGCGGACAGGGAGGCCGGGGGCCGCTGCGAGGGAGCCGAGGAGCCGCCCGCGGCCGGCCGCGTGGAAACGGCGAGTGTGAAGAGGGTCGCAGGCGGCTTCGCGTGGGGCCCCGCGGGCGGCGAGATCTGCCCCCTGCAGACGCCCATGCTGCACTCGCTGACCCAGGAAGGGGCGTGCCGGCCCGAGGCCGGCCACGAGGGCGGCGACCCGGAGAGGCCCCCGGCCGAGGCCCCCGCGGGCAAACCCATGCGGAGGAGCGACCGCTTCGCCACCACCCTGAGGAACGAGATCCAGCTGCGGCGAGCCAGGCTGCAGAAGAGCCGGAGCACGGCAACCCTGGCCGGCGCGGCGGAGGGGGAGGAGGCCGCCGCCGAGGCAGAGGCGTGCGGCTGGGGGGTGCAGCCGGCAGGGGGCGCCCCGGAAGCCGCCTTCTCCAGCGCCTATAAGGACCACCTGAAGGAGGCTCAGGCCCGCGTCCTGAGGGCCACGTCGTTTAGGCGCCGCGACCTGGAGCCCAGCCCTTCGGACCCCGACACCCTCCCTCGCGTCTGGGAGGCGGCCCCGGCCAGGCTGCCCTCGAGCGCCGGCGGCGCGCTGCACGCGCAGCGCATCGCAGGCCGGAGGCGCTTCACGGCCGAGCAGAAACTGAAGTCCTACTCCGAGCCCGAGAAGATGAATGAGGTGGGGCTCGTGGGGGACGAGCACCCGCGCCAGCGCCCCACACCTTCCGACAAGACCGTGCGCACCTTTGCCGACAGGTGGAAGTTTTTTGAGGAAACCAGCAAGCCCGTAGGCCAGCGGCCGGGGCTGAGGCCGGCGCCCTGTGGGTTCCCCAAGGAGAAGCCAGAGAGGCCTTGGACAGCGGGCCCCGGAAAGGAGGGAAAGGTGGGGAGATCAGACCCGCCTCAGAGGCTGGGAACCTTTGCAGAGTATCAAGCCTCGTGGAGGGAACAGAGGAAAGTCCCGGAAGCCAGGAGTTCTGGGAGGTACCACTCGGCAGACAACATCCTGGACGTGGGCCTGGGCCAACACGAGAGGCCACAGTGCGTCCACGGAAGGTCCCGGTCGTCGCCCTCGACCGACCTCTACAAGCAGGTAAGCGTCCTGCAGGGAGCCAGGACAGAGCCACCGCAGCCCCATCTTAAGGTGCGTATAGGACAGCCCCAGGATATCATGACCCATTGCTGTTGTGACTTGTGTCCAGCTGTCTGAGCGTTTACGTGTACCAGCTTTTCTAGTATCAGCACCTGGGGACAAAGGCGATACACTCATGACAACTGCGAGTGCCCTGTTTTCACCCACGTCTTGACTTCCCAGCCTCATTGTCAGCTCTCGCTGAAGCGGTCTTTCCCTTTGATTAGCTTGCCCTTAATCTACAAAGGGAAGAAATTGGGGGAGATGATAGAAAATGGCAAGCTCTCTTCTGAAATTACAAGGGGTGCTTTATAGCAAGGCTTAAGGCAGCACATGATAGTTTTCAAACCTCGATGTCACTTGATGCTATTAGTTTTCTTCTTAGTCCCTTTTTGTGGTGAAATATTTTTAAAGGTTGTTCTGGGGCGAATGTAATTGAAAATGCAGTGCGTTAAACTATTTCACTTTTCTTTTAAAGTAGGAGTTTTGATGGTGAAAGTTGATGGGAAGCTTTCTGAAAAGCTACACATTTGTATCCATACCTCAAAGTCCATAGTCAGTCTTCCTCTCCCACTCTCTCTGCTTTTTCTCCCCCTTCCATCTGCATTTGTACATTTCAAAGAAAAGGTTTCCTGCAGCATCAGATGGAGGTTCTTTTAAGGAAAACCAGCCATCGGTTTGTTACACAATAATGAATGTCCGCATGTGAAGAGAGGTGCAGGTTTCTCTGTGGCCCCCTGGTGCAGCAAGGCCTGCAGACACCGCGACCGTGTGCCCATGCCCCGTGCAGTGTGACCTCTGAGAATTCCATGCTTGATCGGTCAAGAAACAAGGCTCCCAGACTCCAGGTCCCGGGGCTTGAGGTTTTGCTGCAGGGAGCCGTGACCAGCTAGCTGGGTTTGATTTGATTAGGGTTTGGGGGCCAGTGTGTCACACAGGTTTATGACCCTCACGTAGGAGTTCTGCTTCCTGCCCAGAGCCGAAGGGGACACACGGTCTTGTTGAGTCATTTTGATGAGACGCTTTGGAGAGCCGGGCTCCCGGCTCCCGTGGCCGGCTGACGGCAGGCAGCGTCACTGCCTTCGTGGTGCGGGCTCACAGGGCGAACCCACAATGAAGGGTTCATGATCACAGAGGTCTCGGAGGCGGCAGCTTGATGACCGGGTGTCTCATTGTTGCCACCCTTGGCAGGAAGCTTCTGTGGAAGTGCGACGGCAAACGGAGGACCCCGGTGCGCGCAGAGAGCTTTCTTCCTCAGTCCAGGCTGAGGAGGGATGCCCCACCCCAAGGTAGGAGACTCCTGGACTTGGGATTACTAAAAAGGCATCTTGGGGTGGGCTGCATTATGGTGGGTGAGTGCTTCGGTGTCCGGTTTCCGCCAGACCTGAAGTGGCCACTAACCAGGTTCAACTTCCAGCGTCCCCAGGACCAAGCCCCTCAGCCCTACACCACTGCCGGCAGGAGAAGCATCCCCAGGGCGGGGACGCTCTGGGCGCCATCGTGGCATTTTTGCTTCTTAAAACAGCTGCTGTGTTTTCCGTACAGTAAAGTTCTTTACGTTCACGGAACGAGAAACCCAATGTAGTGGGCTTGAATGACATGCTTTATCCGGAACGGCCAACTGACGGGATGCTTTAACATCGAGGGCACAGCTGGGTTGCTGGGTCTGGAAATCCACATTGTCTGGAAGGATTGTGAGTCAAAGGACTAGGGCAAGCCTTTCCCAGTTGGCCTTATTTACTGACTTAATTTTGAGATTTAAAATAGAAATCGAGTCGGTTGGCTCCCCAAGAGGGGATCGGAGCATCTGAAAGAACGGAGTGGCAGCAGTATTGCACTGTCATGTGCCCTGATCCTCCAGTGTGCCCAGTGTAGCTGTGTCACTGTAGTGAGGGTGGAATTTAGGCGAAATACATTCTGTCGCCTGGACCCTCCTCCACGAGAAGGACAGGAGAGGGAAGTGTAGGTCACTGCAGGAACTGGGGTACGACCTTACTTTAAAAGGGCTGATGGAAGAATGGAAGCAAATTTGTACACAGTAGGGTCGCTGAGTGCATAATTTTCTGTTCCTTGAGCATCTCTGGGAGTTGGCATGCTACTCAAATGAAACACCAACCTCAAAATGGAAGATTCTGTCCCAGAGATGACCAGTTTAAATGCTTGCTTTTCAGAGCCTTACGTAACGGGGTTTTATTTCATTTGGCTGTAAGCTGAGTGCTGCTAGCCTTGAACAAGACTGTCGGTGGCTCTGAGGGAGAAGGCGTGGTGGTCTGTGTGTGCATATGTCGGATATGGTTGCAGTTACTTAGCAGTCTGCACGGCCAAGACCAGAAACCCCTGGGTGAGAGAGGAAGGTCTGTGAATAATACACGTACAGAGCTGAGCTGTGTCTGAGCGGCGCAGTCAGAGCTTCATGGCTCTGGATTGCGAGCAGGTCACGTGCCAAGTGCCAGCTGTCGTCTTTATCAAAGCCACTTCCGGGCCCTGCTGCCGTCGTGAGAGTGCGTGCTGTGCTGTAGTGCAGTGCGGCGAGGACGCTCCCCGCACACTCGGGCTCGGGCTTCGCTGCTGCACGGGGGCCTCGGGCATTTATCCTGCAGAGAGACATGCATGTGCTGCTTGGAGTTCAGCTCTCGTGCTGTGAAGAGTCATAACAAATGGCTTATAATGTACATACTGTGTGTGTGTGTGTGTGTGTGTGTGTGTGTGTGTGTGTGTGTGTGTGTGTG